TATAGGCACCCCAATGTTTATATACCTAATGTTGATGGTGATGTTGGTGATGTTGAAATGATGATGATTTACATAAATTTTTACTTTTCAAATAAAGATAGAAACCACAATTCAAATTTCACATGCCACAACTGCAACCACAATTAGTTCAACTACAGTCAATGCTTGTTATCTTGTTATAGTGGATTTTGCCTATAGTGGACTTTTTTTATTTTCCCAATTCTCTTCATAATAAAATTTGTTTGTTATAGTGGACTTTTAAAAAATTTGATATAGAACATAGCTTATGAATTATGTTCGTTATAGTGGAAATCATGTGGTTTTATGGCAATCTTTTACATTATAGTTAATGTTAATATGGTTTCTAAATAGTAATGTGTGTTAACAAAATTATTTGTACATTATCCTTTTTTGATGGTGGCAATAAAGTATTCTATTCTTGGTTAATTTTTTTTAACAATAAATTAATGTTTGTATGTTGTCCTTTTTTTTTACTGATGAAGAAATTATTAGAAGCCAAATCCTGAGGTTGATGATTCTGATGAAGAGGAAGAAGTGGAAATGATGGTTATTTCTGATAAAGAGGCATTAAATAGTTTTAGAAAAAGTGATTCAATATTTAAAAAATCCACCAGATAATTTTATAATTAACTATCAAGAATTAAAAATGATTAATAGTTTAAATCAAAAATTCATAAACATGTTTAGGATAATGCAAAATAACTTATTATTATGTTAGACAGTTTTATTTACTATGTATCTATATGTTGTACATGAATTTATTTGTGTTATTAATAAAAAATTGATCTTGTTATAAGAGACTTTTCAATTTATTATAATAAGTCCACTATAATGAGCTTTGACTGTAATCACAATTAATTGAGGTGCCATCTTTATTTCCAAATCATTGTATGCCTCATCCCAGACAAATTCACCAATATTGTCAGGTCCATTTATGTATATATTATCAATCATTAAGCTGTTTTAGAGAGCTCAAATTCTTAAAATTATCATAATAATCATTCAACACATTCTAGTTCCATTAAAAAAGAATGATTAAATTATTCTAATTAACATGTATTTTGTGTATCCAAAATTTATTGTACATCTCAATATAATTACTGTTTTTAATAATTGGTCAAATAGCTTTAGAGATTTCCTTTCGATAGCTGAATCTCCATCACTCAGTAAATTACGTCTTATATTACCAAAGACTCTTTTGTTATTACCATCAAAATCTGTAGTGACAATTGTTGTATCATTATTCTCAGCCGTGGTGTCATTTATTTCATGATTTTCCATTATGGCTTGAATTAAATTATAAAAATATTTGATCTTATATTTTAAAATGTTATTATGATCAATGTTGATTTGATTCTGATTAGGATGTTGATTATGAGTCAATGATGAATGATGTCAATTAAAATAATATTTAATATTTATGTGAGAGTGTATTATTTAAAGTCGTCAATGAATATTTAAGTGAAAATAAGGTTAGAATACTACCCCACCCTCCCTATAGTCCATATTTAGCACCCTGTGACTTCTTTCTGTTCCCTAAAATCAAAAAAGAACTGAATGGAAAAAGTTTTGATAGTATAGAAAATCTTGCACATGCTGTTCAGGCAATTACTGATAATGTCACAAGTGATGAATATCAAAACTCTTTCCGGGAATGGCAAAGGTGGCTGAAACTTTGCATAGACGTTAATGGAGAGTACTTTGAAGGAATGCAATAGTTTTTTAAAAAAATCAAAATGTAATTTAGTTAAATAAAAATCGATTCTCAAAACTTTTCAGACACCCCACGTATATAAATAACGATAGAAAATAATTTTAGCGGTATCACAAAAAAAAATCATTGTGAAACGAACAGATATATATTTTTTTTTAAAAAAAATAAATGTGCAAACAGACCGTGTAACGTGATACACCCTGATTGAAATTTAAACACCGATGAATCATCACATTGATTGATTAATTTTTTACATAATTTCAAAACCACTCTCTCAAAATGTCTGCTTTAAACTCTGGTTGGAAATCAGCGGTAAAGAAAGTAAAGAAAATTCGGAATAAAGTTGATAACATAATCCATAATTATCCCGAACTACCAAAATTTCTCTTAGGAGAAGAAAGGTGAGTGAGTGTGATTCACGCAGGTTTCTCTAAGATCTGTTCAATGCTGACTCGTATGGTCTACAGTTTACCATTTCAGATTGGGTCAAAAGTTTCAGTCAAAGATTATAATGCTTTTCTTGACCGCAACGAATCAACCGGATACAAATTTTATTGGAACAAAGGAAACGTATATATTATTGAAATGGCTAACTCAGATCATGAATATGTTATATCAGTGCTTCAAGAATGTTTTAGAGTTCCAAATAATAATGCAATATGTGGTCCGATAAAAGTTTGCGGCCAACCATGTAAGAGATTTCCGTTTAGTCTGCTTGGTCTTTGGCTTGTAATAACAATTCACATTTTTTCCTATAGTTCACTACAACCCAATTAACATTACGGAAAAAATGGCACCAGACGTTGCGGTTTATCCAAATATTGCTTATGTTCCACGACCTGGCGTTTTGCATCCTGGTCCTCCCCCCAGTGACACAAATGTACTTTGAGTTTGTATATATTATCACAATATTTATTTTTGATTCACTTTCCTAATATTATAATATACTTACATAGGGTCTTCCTCACGCGAGAATCATCTGTGAGATAGCCAACGCTCAAAACATCGCTACCTGGAATAGAAGATGTGAAAATTGGATGCGTGAACAATATGTCCGATGTGTAGTTGGTATCAAGCTTGATATTATTAGGAGTTATCAAGGCCAAGTACATAGATCAATGATTGTACGTCTAGCTACCTGCTTTATCATTTTCATTATACTATACATAGTTCACCTCTAAGAGTTTTTTTTTAATATTAGGCCATGCTATGGACACGTCAAATACCAGCACCACCGACAGTGAGTAGGGCAGTACCAACGTTGCCGGGAGTATTCACTCAAAAGGTAAGATTGATCCACTGTTGGTATTTCTTGTGATCAAACATTTTAGAGCTTAAAATATAACTTTTGCAATGTGATAGTGGGACTTTGGAACTTTACAATATAATAGTAATCAAGCTACTGGTTGTAATGGTCCTGGTATTCCTGCCTATCAAGTGAATATTCCGATTTCAAATGTTTTTTGGGACCCTCCGATCGTTGCAGGAGCTCCAAATGTTAGAGGATATAATATAACAGTTCCTGGTACAGTTGTCGGCAATAATTTTGTCATTGATTTATATAATATTCAACAAGAGGTCTTAGCTTCACAAAAAGTGTAATATTTGTTAGTAATGCTAAAGTGGCTTATAATAATCTTATAATAACCTTAGATCCTTTGCATAAATAATTATTTAGTAAAAGAAGGAATGTAAAAACATATTAGCAAAATGAATATGTATAAAAGGCTACGGTCTGATAAATTTGCAAAAACAAAGTATTTACTAAATCAAAATCCTGATGGACGAAACTTTATCTGTCAAAATGTTTGGTAAACCGGTTAATTTAACATGGTTTCTTTACTGTCTTACAAAACAAAATGTTATATAGAAATCCTTGATGTTAATATTTAATACCTGATCTTCCTGAATATTCCGGTTTTCTATTGTTGCGGGATTAGGGGCATAATAATAATATAACAGTTCCTGGTACAGTTATCGGCAATAATTTTGTCATTGATTTATATAACCAGATGGTCTCATTTTCAAATATAATTAATATAGAGTTATGAATTATAAGTTCTATTTAAACAATCGATCTTGTTAAAAAAATATATTTTACCATATGATATGTTTTTCTCGATGTTTACAAGTAATTCAACTATTGAAACACCTTTGGACGCCAATTCTCCAATAGATTCAGATAATGCATATCCTTTATATTCACACACATATATATATTCATGCGTTTTTTCATTTTTAAACCTTAACATTTGAAAAGTTCTTTTCCTTCAAATACGAAAAAGTGATCATAACAAAGTCTTTAGAATATTGCCTTTAGAATATTTATGTAAAGAGTTCTATCTAATTACCAAGAATCGAAATTTTGTAAGAATCAATCAATTACTAGACATACTACTTTTTTAATAATTAATTTCCACTTTTTACACTCTGTGTAATTACAAACTATCAAAAAAACGGACAAGAGTTTTAAAAAAAGTAGTATTATACAAATATATGGCTAGTTTTTGTATTAGGTTTTTGGCTATGGATATAAAATGATTTAAATAATAATAATTTATTATTATCGTTATTTCAAATTTGGTAATTGCTAAATTATGACTGGATACTATAGCATTTTTTTTAATATGATCAGATTTTTGATAAACGAACTTATAAAAATAAATGTATATATTTATCATATCATTCCGGTGTCAGTTTATTGATGACTTGTTAATATAATAGAAATGATATGGAGAAGACACTCAACTATTTCATAACTACATTTATATACTTGAAAAAGTAGATATCGGAAGATCAAGGTTAGGGAAGATTCTCAAAGCGAGAAGTATTGGTATGATAATTGGTGGTTACTTTTAATCAAGCGTAAAACATAATATTTATTAAAAAGTAAATAAATTCATATATTAAAAACATATATATATTATTAATTTTTTGTTTTGCTAGCACCGAAATTTTCTGTATAGCCATCTCCTTCAGCATCATGAAATACCAATTGTAATCGTACCCCTTCTGCTGTATGTTCCTCTGGTTGTCCCGGGTTGTCAATGACATTTCTGAGAAATATTTTTTCGTTATTTGTCTTTAAATACGCACCAATTTCCATTTTTTGAACTGATCTATAATTATACAGAATGGTGGAAATGAGATATATATGGAAACAAAAATCGTTTCATTATAGAACAATTAGAGAAACCATGTAACTTACAACGTAGTAGATTCACCTTGTTCTTTTTTTAGCGTTTCTT